GCCAGCAAGCAGGCTCTGAATTAAAAAGAAATGCCAATGGTTGGTGTACATAGAAAAGGCAAAAGCCAAGATCTAAGCCAAGTCCTAAAATGTGGTTGCTATGCAGAGAAGCCTGGATTACAGTCTCCAGTCCCTCTCCCTTGGTGGGGGGAGAAGAGGAGGCTGCGGGCGAAGCCCCAGGCCAGGCTACTCCAAGAGCAGCTTTGAGTTGATGCTGCAGCCGCGGGCAAGGCCAGGTTTGGAGGGTACCACATAGCCAGGAGCAGCAAGCCCAGGTAAGGCTGCCTTTACGAGCATCCTTCAAACACACCCTGCATCACAAAGCCCACCCTGAGCTGAGACAGGGCTCATTTTTCCTGCACAGACACAAGGAAACAAAAAACCTCACCCAGTTGCAAAATGAAAGCAGGAAATCCTTTGCCTTTATGCAGGCAGTCAGACAAGTATTTTACCGTGTGTTTACTCTCCAGCCGTGCCCGCCTTCCCCCTTTCCCTGCCTGTTCCCCACACGCTTCTCCTTTGCAGATGCCGCACATCCTGCTGCAGCTTTTGTCTCTGGCACGCGGCGAGTGTGAAAGGACCTGGTCCCCCAGCCCCTCGCCAGCAACAGGCACAGCCCCTGTGTGACACGCTGCATCTCCTCACCGCTGTGTTGCTCTACAAACCCCGGGGTCTTTGTCTGGGCACAAAGCTGCCATGGTGGCGGCACAGGCAGGGGAAGGGGAGCTTCCCCCTTCTCCGAGCTGGCCATGGCCACGCAGGCACTACCACGCTCCTACAAACCAGGGCTGGAGCAGTTTATAAAACCAACTCTGTATTTCCAGGAGACAAGGTGTGGGGCTGCTGCTGGGCAGCTTTCAAAATCCATCTTACACAAAGAACAAGAAAAAAGCTGATATCCCAGCAAGAGCTTTTTCCCCTGACAAATTTGCAAAACCTCCTGTAACCACACAACCTGCTTCTTTCTCTTGTATTTTGGTATTTCTGCTTTCAATAATTTATAACAAAAGAACTGAGACATCAACAGATAGTGGGGAAGCAATACCAGCCCTGACCTGAAATAGAAAAGAACGACCGCCAGCCATTTTAGATGAGTTTTAAATCTCCCACAGAACAAGGCTGTCAGGGCTCAGATACAGCCTTGCTGATGGCCATTTCCAGGAATGCTTTTATTCTCTTCAGCAGG